AAGCGCTGGAAACAGATGATGAGCGGGGGTGAAGGGATGAGAGGAGCTTTCAGTTCCTTGTGTAATGTAGAGGCTGCTGCTCTACAGTAGCTGCTGACTGGACGTTCTCAAACTTTACTGCCTCTCCACACACACACACACACACACACACACACACACAAAGGATGAGCGAGGAAATAAAACCCTGTGACTGCCAACAGCAGAGTGTGTAAGTGTGTGCATTTGTGAGAGAGATAGGGGGAGTGAGTGAAAGGGAAGAAAATGGAAGGAGATAATGGGAAGTTCAGTTATTTTAGAGCTGAAAGTTTCGGTAGTTTGTGGAGAAAAGGAGTAAACTGCTCGTCGTGTGTTCATCATTAAAATCAGGGTAAATTTAAATTGCAGGATCTTCCGCTTTGTGTCAGCAAACCAGCCAAAATGAGTGTGAGTGTGTGTGTGTGTGTGTGTGTTCTGTGTTTGTTCAGCAGCAGCAGTGGGAATAATGAAGCCAGAGAAGAGGAATCCTGCAGGAATCCATTTCAGTCTGCATTCCTCCTGATGTAGAGCCGAGAGCAGTCAGAAGCAGAAAGCAACAGGCTACTGGAGACTGACCCCCGCGCGCGCACACACACACACACACACACACACACACACACACACACACACACACACACACATTCTTAAGACAATAACAGCCCCTACTGGGGAGAAAACTCATAACATGACCACACTGAGACACACAGGGACAATTGCATGCAAAAAACCCACCCACAGACGGAGCTCGAAACAGACACACATAAATAGCACAAACAGGATACACACAGATTGTTAGTAAACAGATTAAATTGGAGAAGCTATTCACACTGGCATGCAGAGACGCAGGCAGACAAATATGCAGATGCACATATGAGCATCTGCACATACACACACACACACACACACACACACACACACACACACACACACAATTCACACTGCAGGACCACTTCAGGTTTCATCATCTTCTTTTCCTTTTTTTTTTTTTTTTTGGCGTTCTTTTTCTCATTGAGTAGTCGTGGAGGGGGGGTTGGGGGGGGGGGGGTGTCTCATTCCCTCTCTTTTGTTGCTGCTGGGGAGAGAGAGCACATATCCATACAGAACGCTCTCTCCAGCCCCATTCACACCCACACACTGCTCCCTCCCTCCTCCTCTCTCTCTCTCTCTCTCCCTCTCTCTATCCGCACACACACACACACACACACACACACACACACACACACACACACACACACACACACACACACACACACATACATACACACACACACATCCACAAAGATACAACATCAAAGAGCCGACACCGACGAAGGATTACTTCAGCCACACACTGGCCCCCTCAATCCGGGTCTGTTCCTCTTGTGGAACCCCCCTCTCGCCTGGCCGCATTTGGTACAGCCCAAGCATTCCTGCCAAGTAGCTTTCACACATGGAGGGGAAGCTTGTCTCAAGCAATTGCTGACAAGCTACAAACAAGACAGCCTCCCATTCTCTCTCCCCCCCACCCCCACTTTTTTTCCTCTCTCTCGCTCTCTCTTTCTCACTCTCTCTCTCTCTCTCTTTCTCTTACCCCTTCAACCCAGGTCTACTGAACAGACTCACCCGTCCTCACTCCTTACCCTTTCCACCCTCTCCATCCCCCCTTCTTTTCCCTCCTCTCTCTGTCTCCCCCATTCCTCCCTCTTCCCTCCCCCCTCATCTCTCTCTCTCTCTCTCTCTCTCTCTCTCTCTCTGAGAATGTGGGGGCCCCACTAGCATAAATTGTCAGCTGTTCCTGGGCGTACTCTCCATGGCTCCCTAAACTCACATAAGCCTTCATATGCAGTCACTGGTGGGACAAGGGTAACCCAAGTAAGCCCTGTTGGTTATGAGTCTGAAAAAGTATACCAAGGCCCCCGAATAATGCTGCAGTGTGAAGGCACTGAGAGTTTCACTCTATAATAAGCTGCAACAGATACTGAGGCTAATGGTATTGCAAGGTTAACATAAATATACTTTCTTTTTGGCCTTTTTAATTTATTAATGCAAGCACAAACACACTATTGTTAGTCTCCGTTATATGCACAAGCAGTGTCATACATGTTATGTGTTTCCCTTGTGCCGCTGACTGCTCTCCTGCAAGCAAGGACAGTTTATCCAAAGCCACAACTCATGAGGGCACTCAATGTTAACCTTCTCAGAGTTAAGAGTTTAAACCAATCATAAAACCTTTTTTTTTCGGTGTGAGTAGTTTTTATCATTATAAATGTGATGTCTGCTGGTAGGGATAATTAAATGTAAGAACATGAAGATGAATCATCTTTTTATGCCTAGGCAGAAGTCATGGAAAGGTTTCCACTCACAAAATAACCACATCCTTCTCATTTTTCCCCCTCACTCTGAGGTACTGCACATTAGGGGTGTCTTGAGGTTTCCAGAGGTAGGGTTTGATATGGCTGGAACCATTTTGCATTAGTCTTATTGTTACTGAGCAGCCATTGTTATCCACTAGAGTAGGCTGTCATCTAGTGTTGAGTTTAGGTACTGTTGGTTTAATGAAGCAACATATGGGTGTTTTTGTTTTTTGTTTTTTCCAGAGGGGACGCCATAGAAAACTTGAAATTGGATAAGCACCAGTTCACAACTTGCACAGTGTTTTTTATTCAAGTGAGATACTAGCAGAAGACAGAAAGAAAAAAAGAGAGAGAGTGATAATAAGAGGGAAAATTGATTTTTGTTTTTTTTTTGGTGATGGATACAATGGTAGTGAAACCTGCATAAAAGGGACGTGGTGAGAAATACGAAGGTAAATCATGGTGGCTTTTGTTTTAACACCTACTGAACAAAGATGTCCTTGCTTCCTCTGTCTGTCTGGTCTGATGAGCGTACTCATTACAGCAAATACAATGGTGAGATTTCTCTGCTGAAAAATTCTCTTTTGACTGATCCCCCTCGGCTTGCGAGAGCTGGTTTCAGCTGCAGAACAGTTCAGGTTTCAGCAACTTGCTCAAAGACAGTTGAGCACGCAGAAGCTGAGGTTTCAGCATGTGTCCTCTGAGCTGTGCTCGCATAGGTGTGGGGGTGTGGAGGGGGGATAAATTAGACTAAATATTCATGGTAAATGCTTGTTTACTGACTCACAAATTTAAAGATGTGTAAAATATGTCTGGCAATTTGTGAATTTATTCTCCTATCCACAAATAGAACCCAACCTATATAAACGTCAAGCATTCAACACATGTATTTTCAGTGTAACAATATGTCTTACATTTGTTTTTTGCTAAATCCTGCCATAAAATTTGTTTTTTTCAACTATTTACATGCACAAGAAGCTTTGTAAAGGAAATGTGAGAACAATGAACTTGAAGTTGGGAAAAAAAAAATATGTAGAATATTTTCATTAATCAGTTTATTTGTTCTTGAATCACTCATCTCTCTCCACGAAGAAGCAGGTGAGATAGACTTAAAGGTAAAGACAGAGCAGAGACAGTCGCCGAGGGAAGATGAGATTTAACTTTGAACTCCTTCTGAGACAATACCTCCCATCTTCTATAATCAGCTATTACACCATACAGCACCTTCAGCCTCCAGTTCACCCCTGCTCTAAATGCTTTTATACTGACAGAGCAATGAACCCTCTCCAAACATCCCGTCTCTGTCAGGTCTGGGTGTCTGCATTGTCTATAAGATCCATCCTGGACGACTTTTCCGTTGTTCATGCTTCGGTTTATCTGAACTATATTTCTTTTTCACTATTTTTGGATCTATTCATGCCTACATTACACTTTTTGTTCAGTTCACAAGTGCTATTTGTCTGCATATGCACCTTCCATCCCCACTGTTTTCTTATGCTGATTTGAATGAGAACAGAAATAGAAAATGCAGTCTCTTGTTGTCCTGTGCATGTGATGTGCATCTGAAATTTCAATTATTTAAAGGCATGCGTTGCCAGCCAATTACAAATATATTTTAGATATCCAATATTTCTATTTCATACATTAGTCTTATTTCACTAAACTTCTGTTCACTGACGTTTTACTGTACATGTTACAAACACAAAGACCTCCATTTATGCTGCAGATGAGTCAGTCAGCAAGGATGAACAAACGGGATTCATGTGTTAAGATCATCCTCATTCCTCTTGGATGACGATATCCCAGACAGATCTCCTCATCCTCCTCCTGACTGGATAAATGCAATACTGAGCAAATTTCAGATGCATCCAACAGTCCAATCTCTCCCATCATCCCCACTTCACTATTGGATAAGGGTAATAATAGGCAAACTTCTCTCCAGATTGGAGGTGAAATGATTATCCAATTAATCGATTAGTCAAACAGAAACTTGAACTGATCATCAAATAATTGTTTCATTTACTTTTTAATGCAGAAATACCAAGAATTTTCTGGTTCCAGTTTCTTATATGTGAGGATTTACTGCTTTTCTTTGTTTTATATAATTGTAAATTGAATATCTTTGAGTTTTTCTACTGCTGATGACATCTTGAGCTCTGGAAAACTGTAATAGAGGCAAATAGATTCAGCAAACAATTGGCAGATTTATCAATTATGAAAATAATTGTTAGTTGCAGCCCAACTCCAGACAAGTATCTCGTGTGTTTGCTGCAGCTAACATATTATTTTCTCCATTCATTATTTTGTCTATAAAATGCTTGTGTGCTCAAGCTTAATCAATTTGATACAGCAAATGATTATATGAACCACTCAAACATGATACATGTCGACTGAAAAGGTGACACCTGCTGTTGCCAAACAATTACTAGTATAAAATAAGTTAGGAAAAAAGCTCCGCCATTTTAACAAGACAAATCCTCAACAGAGTCGATGCTCTTGTATTTTAGGCTGGCCACATTTTTAACTCCCCCAACTCTATATAAATTGTGTGTAGTTTGAATCAGGAAAACTCACTAAATGATCAGGACATTTGTCACAAGCAAATATGTGTAATTAAAGCAAGAATAACAGGACATAAAAGGCAAAAATTTATTCAGTCTTTTAACAGACAGCGAGAGACAGCTCAATTATTTCTAAAATCAGTTTGTGAAAGAAACATCTCTTTATGTGCACACATTGCATTTACTCAGTAGGAGGGGGATTTGAAGTAGAACAAGAGTGTCCTGGATACAAGTGGAAGAAAAGATCAATAAAACATCAGTAATGACACAGTTGTGTTGATTACTAGTCAGAAATTCACATTAAAAACGAGACACGTTTCCCTTTTTAAAGTTGGCAGCCTTAGAAAAGACAGTGGACAACAAATAGCCTGCAAATACACATGCAGTGATGTCACCAGACCAGCCCCGAGTCCAAACCTTGACTCATGGACTATGTGAAACTAGCAGATCAATACGAAAGGAGGGAGTCTAGTCAAATCATTTAAAAGTTAGCACACCAAAGGACAAAGACCCACTGGAAACACCCAAAGGACAGTCTCACTCCTATGATTGCCCCAAACTTCAAGTATTCCCTCCAACGTCTGCAACACTTCAAGTATTCCTGCCGAGGACTCCAAACCTTCAATTTATTACCACTTCTTAGGTTTACAACATAAGCTATGATATAAGTGCACTCGAAATTCATCTATACATAGAAAAATAATGATAACAATAGGTTGCAGTAATAGTTTTAACAATCACTTTACATTTCATTTTATACACAACCGTGATGTTATATCACTTTATACCGTGGCATCACATTCCCCGCCCCCTGAGTGTAATGTTCAAGTTTAACCTTCTGTAGCTATGGAAACGCAAACAGTAACAGCAACCTTGGTTTGGTTATTTAAATAACATTAGCAATCACTGACAACGGCAATGATTAGAATCAGAGTAATTATGCCTTTCCACAGACCGTTGTGCTTGTGTGTGACAGATGCATTATGTACAAGCTGCTGATCGATCATGTGCCTCTTGTTTCCGTTCTGTTCGCTGGTGTCAGACACTGACAGCCTTCATCCTGCAAAATTAACATTTTTGTGTTAAGAAACAGACAAGGTGCTTTAAAGAAAATCAATGCAGATATTGAAGACATGTGATCACATTGCACTGTAGTGTATTGACAGTTCCTTCAGCAAGAGGTTTATTGAGTGAAAGTAAAAATACGTGCTCGTGCCCTCCTTTCACAACTTTACACAGCACCACAAGGGGATGGGATGTGCAAACTAAACAGTTGAGTGTAGCTCGGGCTTGTAAGGTATCACTTTCACCTACCCCAGTTTCGCTAGCCGAACAGACCCTCCAGCCTCCTCAGGAACCAGCAACAATGCAGCTCCGGCATTTGTACAACTTGGGGTCATGGGTGCGGATGTGGTTCCGTACATTCCTTAGTCGAAAGAACGTCTTGCTGCAGAGCTACAGAAGTGCAGAGTGGGTAAGCCGGAGAGTTAACAGCGTGGAACTGACCAGAGAACGACAAGACGGAAGCTTTGACCTGCACTGATGATACAGCTGTGATGCCATAGTGTCTAGATCAGAAGTTGTAACCAGGTGCTGAGTGTAAAGATTCTGCAGTGTGTCCCACTCTGTGGATTTTAGCAGTTTCCCAATAAAAAGTGACTTAAATGAGTGAAACATAACAACCACACATTAACCATCTTTACCTTATATTACAATATAATAATAAATATATTTTGTGCCGTTTGTCTGTTCGTCATCGTGTATTTATGATATACAAGGTCCAGTTACTGTCTCAAGTCACACTGCTCACAATTAGTTATTTCTTTGTGAGCTCTTTAACACCAGAGAAGATAAATAAACCATTAAGGTGTAGTAAGACCCATCGTCAGTCACAGGAATTTGAGTTCCCCACATGGGACCATGCAGCACTAATGAAATAGCATGACAGTTAGCTACCAGTCCATCCATATAACTCTGTGTGTGCAGCTCAAACTCAGTGTGAACACACACTGGACCAGAACTAAAAGACGACAATGCATAAGTCTTTCTCCCTGGTCTGGAGTAAACGAACACCAGGTGTGAAAGCACCCTTCGATATTTCACTCAAATTGGCTGGTATAATGTTGAGTGGGAATAATACATTTGCATGCTTTTGGTGTTCCATGTTATGGTTGTCAATCCAATGTCTCAACTCCACTTGAGAGCTCTATTCTAGGTTGTTTATGAAAGCGGGTGCTTACCGGACAGGGCCAGTGCTTGCCCTCGATGTGCCTGAGGCGATGCATGATTAGAGCATCACAGTCCTTGTAGGTGGCTGCGCACTGCAGACAGGCATGGGACGCCTTTGGGACTTTAGGGGCTTGACTACGAGGCCCTCGGAGCCGTTTTAGCCGTGCCCGTCGTACGGCATCCAGCACGACACAGTTCCTGCTGCTCAGAGCGAGAACTTTACCTTGTTGCTGGAGAGAAGACAGCGGGGAAAAGAGGATTATGGATGAGTTGACTCAATTTTTGGAGATACAAAAAAATGTACCGCAATTATAGATTCTGTGTTCTCATTTATACTATAACACCAGGGGTGTTACTATGAAGAAGACCTGTACAGGTAGGTGACATTAGTGATTTTCTACATTGTTGTGTTTTCATTGCCCTTTCAAGGTCCCTAAAGAACTCACAGTCATCATCATACATCGCTCCCTTCCCTATTATCTACCTTTGGCATGGTCCGTGTGGTCCTGGACCCAGCAGATTTGGCCAGATGAAGAGTGTTGTTTTGGGAGTTTCCCCTGGGTCTCTGAACCCTGTTTTGGCTCACTTTCCTCTCCTCCCTCTCCCTCTTCACCACAGGCAGGGTGGTGGGTGGCACTCTGGCCCTCAGTGCTCTGTGGGGGGGCTCTTCAGCTCCAAATTTCTCCCCAACTTGTGACACAGAGCGTGTTAAGCAGATATCCACGCTCTCCTCCTCTTTCTTCAGTCCTGCCATGGGCCCCCCCGCTGGCCGACAGAAGCTGAACAGAAAGCCTGAATCCAGTAATTTGATGGGGGGCTTGCTCTGGCGTTTGCCCAGGTCCGGTGAGGGAGGATCGGGGAAAGGTCCAACAACTGGCACCGGGTCTGCTGGCTCCTCTTTAATGACTTTGTACAGAGGGTGGTTGTAGATAGAGGGTGGAGGTCCATGATCTGGTAACTGGAGCCCACCAGCTTCATTATCCTTCACTCTCAGTCTAGTATCCATGACCCCCCTCATCCCCTGGTTCCCCACTTTCCTCCCTTCCTCCCTCGGCTTACCTTTGGTCTTCTTAACCTCTCTTGCGGAGCCCCGCTTCAGCTTGGCCTTTGTTGCTGGTCGGCTGCTGTTATAACGCAGCGTTTTGACTGTTTCTACAGGGACCTTATTTCTGGCCTGTGTCCTCTGTGAGGGTGGGGATCTGTGAGAAAGACCTGAGATAGAGCATTCGATTGGTTCTGATTTGATCCTGACTGTGTTTCTCACAAGAGGTTTTTTGGTGCTCCGTTGCAGAGGCTGCTGGGCAGGAAGGTGGGCACCGTCACCCTTCCTCACTGATCGTCTGAGTTCTCTCCCCCCGAAGGAAGGCCTGGATGCAGGTTGGAACATGTCTGGCAACACACCTTTACTCCGCATGCTCCTGTCGCTTGGAGGGATATGTCGCACGGCGGTCTTTGGCCTCTTTGCAGTAATCTGTTCCGGCATCACTGTGCCCACAGGCTTGGCCTTCACTGACTTGTTGAGGAGGCGGGTGTTAACGGGGTTACAGAGGGGAAGCGACAGTGTCATATCCCCATACGGTAGAACAGGGGAGGTGGAGCGGGGTTTCCGCCGCTTCGTCAGTGAATAGTTGTTGGCCTTCAGCTTCCTCAGTCGTTTCTTTTGTCTCCAGCCAATTAGATCTTCTGGTCTGGGGAGGAGAGCAGTCCTCTGTAGCCCCAGAACATTCATTAACTTGTACTTCTCCTGTGCTCTCGCATAATCCTCTTCATCTTCTCCGACCTCCTCTACTTCCTGCTTCACCCTAACAGGGCTGCACGTCGCGCTGGGCCTTGATCTGGAGGTGCAAGAGAGGCGGGTGATGGAGTGAGGCTTTCTGTTTCGTCGCGGGCTCTCTGGTACGGGCAGAAATCTCTGAACCTCCTTGGCAGCACCAGGAGTTGAGCGGAGAAGACGGGTGTTTGATGGAGGTATGGGTGAGTAATTCTGTGACTGAAGGTTGGCTATGGTGTGTCGAGGTATAGTAACTTTCTTGGAAGAGGGAGATTTGAAGTCCATGAGCTTCATCCTGTGCGAGGGACTCAGAGGGAGGCCGTTATGACCTTGGAGTTTTGCCATTCGGCGCAAATTGCGCCTGGGACTCCCTTCTAAAGAATCATCTGATGTGTCCAGCATTAGACTGTAGCTGTCGTTCATGTTGTCCTCTAGTCCTAAAACTTTTTTCCTTTTGTTTTCCCTTTGCTGGTGATGACGCTCATGGCATGCACCAGAACAGGTTGAGGTAAAGCCTTTGCCAGGATGGAGCTGCTGTTCCTGCTCCTTCATGAGAGCAGAGCAGGCTTCCACCGCCGGCCACATGCCCAGGTGGCGGGCCATGGCGATGACTTCAGGTAGGTCCTCCTGGCGAACACACAGAGTGGAGGAGTAGGAGAAATCCAGCAGCGAAAGAAGGCTGTCCTCACTGAAACCTGAGGGGGGAAAAGGAGGCTTTAATTAGATGAGCTGAACCCCGGTCAATCAGTGAGTGAGATGAGGGAGATGAAAGCAACTCGGTGCAAAGAGGATCAGAGAGAAGCAGCAAGAGTGGCAGCAAAGTGTAAACATGACAGTGGAGACTAAGAGACAATATAACAACTGCTTTAATCAGGGACACTTCTGCTGCTACATCAAAGACATAAGTAAATGAGAAAACAGACTATGGCTGTGTCCCAATTCAGGGTCTGGCGCCTCCAACTACAGATTTCTAGACCAAATACGCCACAATTCGAACCCGTTACAAAAGGTCTCTTAAAATGGGGCTGAGAAATGCACCCTCCTTTGGCTTGAACTTGGCTTAAGTTTCCTAAACATCGTTTCATGGATAATGAAATGAACCTGAACTTGGAAAGTCACAAATGATCATGTGACTGTGTATTTACAGGATTTTTGCATTCAGTGGCTCACCAGTCACTGTTAAGTGTATAGATGTATGTCTATTTTAATAATCTATTAATTGTTTCAATCATTTTTTTGAGCAAAAACACTAAAAACTTGCAGATTTCCTATTCATCTTTGCATTTTACACTGTTGTTCTGATAAAGTAAGATATGCAAATATATTCACTGGGCTCTGGGAAATTATAACGGACATTTAGCATTTTACAGAGAAAAACTGTATAATTTGGAGGCTAATCAATAATAACAAAAAATAAAGACTGGGTTATGTTAGAAAAGAACTCGTCTGTACGACGTATTGTCCGATTGTGTCAGAACACAAGTGTGTTTAAAGCAGATCTGAATGGCTACACTTGAATGTGAAGTCAGAGAGAGATGCAACATTGTTCGAATATAGTGATAATGGTGCATATTTCTAGTCGACAGTCTCTCCAGGAGGGTGTTCATTGTGTGGTACTTGTTTGTACACACAAAAATTGACAGAATTAGAGTTGTGAAGTGGGAGGAACTATTTTGGGGTGCCACTGATTCTAGAAGTAATAGTTGCGTTCATTTTTCCTGTAAACAATGTTACGTGACTGACAGTTGGAGCATTTTTGCAGTTTAGATTGATGTGAAGTGCTCCCGTTTCAATCATCAGTGCAAACGGTTAATGACTGCGTTACAAATCAATCAGGTTCCATGTTAAAAATCAAAGGTACAAGCTTGTGTACATAAAATATTCAGGGGTGAAGTTAACTACCAGTTCTAAGGTATTTTTTGGCAAGAAACATCCCATTACCGAGCATAAAATTCTGTCAAGTAATCCCCTGGTGGCGATCTCTAAAGATTATAGTGTTGAGAAAACTGAAATACAATCTGCACCTTAAATCAGTTCACTTTTAAACTCTCAGTTTTTTGATCCAATTCAGAAGCTATGGCACCCAATTTTGTCCGCTTCAATTCACACCTCTGACTGGCCTCTTCAGCAACAGCAACAATGGGTACTGTAGTATTAATAGTACCATACCAAAAATGTCAGACAAAACATGATTCATCATAAACAAATCTGAAATAATGAAAACTGGTGTTTCTGTGTTGAGTAACATTAAGGATATCATTTACAAAAAAGACTGAAATGAAAATACAGAATGGAGAGAACCACTCCTGGAACCAGCATCACCAGAAAGATCTGTGGGAGGGAGGGGGGTTTCAAAGCTGTTCAACAATCCAACAAGCACTTCTAATACATTTAAGTAAAATGTTACAACTCTAACACTAGTGCCATTAACCTTCTTTCAGTTTAGTATTTGGTGGTACTTTGATAAACATTTCCTTGAATTTTGATTGGAAATTGACTTAGAAGTTAAACAGGAAAATTCTAATGCCCAAATGCATTGTTTGTTGCCTGTGGGTCAAGACTGACTCATCTGAAGAGAAGGCACAGGCTCAGTCTGGCCTTTAGATCCAGATCCAGCCCCTTAAACTGAGCACAGCTCAGTGACGTTTTCTATTGTCAGTTTAGCCTCTAGGTAACTGCTCTTACCGGTGAGATCTATGTCTGCTTTCATGCTCGAGTCCATCTCTGTGAAGATTTCCTGGAAGTGATCGCTGACGGCCGCCAGAACAGCTCTGTGGGCTGAATACGATCGGCCGTTTGTCCGCAGGGTGATGTCACAGAACAGCCCCGCCTCCCGCTGACTCCTCAGCTTGCTCAGCATGTCAGCGCTGTGTGATGCCATCGTCTTTGTGACACATCCTCTGCCACCCAGTTTCTGACAGAAGAAGATAGAAGTTCATCATTATAATAATATAACATGCTACAAAGCACTTGTGGGAGACGAATGTGAGAGCAAAATTAAGTGAGACTGAGCATGAGAAAGTGTGAATTTAAAATGTGTAGGATGCAGAAAAACGAGGAACTGATTAAAAAAAAAAAAACTTGTGCCGTTACTTGTCAGATCAGCCTCTGTGACTCTGACCTTCCCTTACCTGAGTTTTGTTGGTGCGCTGGCTCTGACACTCTGGACAGCCCAGGACAAAATCTCTGATCTGGAAGTACATCCCTGTTAAGAAAATAGTTATGCAAAGATAAGAGTATGAGGCAAAAAAGATAGGTGGGGATTTTCTAGTACAACTTCAAAAGACAATAATCTTAAAGGCTCGATACTCCTCTGACACTTGTAGAGCTGACTTTTGATCTTGATGAAAGACACAGGATGAAATGTATTGTCTCACACACACAGCCAGGGCCATAATAAACAACCATCTTTAATGTCTGAGTATGTTTCTTGATCTTTGACTGATTCAATCAGGAGTGTGTGGTTGCTTCAACAATAAGAAATGAATAAACTCTAGTTAGATATAGATAAGATAACCAGTAAGGAGAAGCTGGTTTACAGAGGAGGGAAACACGTGCTGTCCTGTGAAGTCAGATGTAAGGCAGACAGTGATGTTCATACCCTCCCACCAGTAGTTTTCAGCCACGCATTTGTAGGTCTCCTCCAGGGAGAGGTGGCGCTGACCATGCCGTCGTAGGTGAAAGGTGGAGATGGCCTCATGTCTCCGGTCCTCATCCAAAACCTCCCGGTAGTTGATGAAGCCCCTCTCTAGCTTCTTGCGGTACAGCAGCCCGTCTATCACCTCAAAGTTGGGCGACCAGCGTGCAGGGAGTGCACGCCCTTGTGAGTTCCCGACTGACTCCATATCCCCGGGTCTGTCTCTGTCTCCATCCGACCAGGGTTTGGACGGACAAAACGTCCCAGGGTTCGCGTAGGGAGTGTTAGTGTGGGTGCAATCGCCGGCCATTTTAACCGGTTTTATATTCAGATGTAAGAATGCAACTTTATCCAGTCTGGAAAGCCTCTTCCTCTGAGAAGTAGTTAAAAACACTCCCTCTTTTGCTCGGCCGGGTCGCCCCTTGTACGTCACGGCGGGGAGCTACGGGCCAAACTTCACTCACAGTCCCGAGACAAAGTACACGTGGATGCTGTGACAGCAAACAACAGACCCCCAAACCAAACAATGAGCCCCTACAAACACTCTTCGACACCCTGCTAGTAGCCGGGCTCCGTAGCCCTCCCCTCGTTGGTGTCAGTTAGCTAAAATTAACCGTAACGTCTCTCATTATGGCTTACAAAGGACTGTTTTTCCTCAACTGGCGCTTAGGAAGAAAGTCACTATCATATGGGGGTCAGCAGCATTTCATTGGAGGGTCCTGCTTTGTACCCTAGCTGTCAATGCGGGCATCACTTCTCGCTACCAAAACATAACTGACTAACATCCCTAAAATTTTGCCACAGTTGCACTTTATGTTTGGGAAACGTTCGGTCATATTTTTGTACAATTTAGTGGTTTCTAACGTTACGCAACGTCAACAGAAATGTTTGACTGTCCATCCAAGTGTAGATAATAAATTCAGCCAGGAGAGTAACGCGCCAACAACGCCGAGCCAAGTGATGTAAAGTCACCGGTTTCACAGCGACCACGCACACAGGCTTCACAGCCAACCTCTCACCAGCAGCCCGTCTTCCATCCACTTCAGCGGTCGGGAGTGGCCTCCGGGGCTGGATGACGGCGGGCAGCCTCACCTCCGGCGTTAACTTGAGATTTCTTTTCGCCAACTCGAGTCGGAAGCAACATGATGACGCAGCTATCAGCTCAGCATCGCCACTTCAACGACCTAAAAGCGAGGTTGTCTCCGCGGTCTACCCGAAATGTTGTAAATCACCGCCGGGTCCTTTCAAAAGCGAGCCAACAAGCTCCGATCAGAAACCCGACATGATTCATACCGCTCCCCTTACCGCAAAGCCTGTCCGGTGATCAAAGAATCCGATTTTTCAAACTCGTAACCTTCTGTTTGTTGCTAATCAGCAGCCTAACCGAGCCAGCTCCTCCCCGCCTTCAGACAAAAGCCATTAGCAGAAGCTTTAAAGAGCTTCGGCCAGACGAGACGCGATTGGCCGATGGAGCTGCCACTCATTTAGTTTTCGGCCCCTCGCTTTCAAGGTAGGTTGCTTGCTCACGATGCCAGTATACTAGTGTTTGCTTCACTTGCACAGTCCAGTTAAACATGATACACCCAGTGGAGTGTCTCCACATTCACATTGAGGACGCAGTGTAAGCAAAGATTGCCCAATTTTTGTCCCATCCTCTGTAAATAAGATGACATTATTTAGTCAGAATGAATTAGAATTAAATTATTTTAAGATGTTAGCTGTCTCTGTCATCTCAATGTCAGCCACAAATACTCCAATAATGTTAATTCTGCAAAATTTCAAGATTATAATATATAATACACAATATGCAAACAGCCAAATTTTGACCCTATAAAATGAAAACATCTGTATCAAATGAATACATCACCCATCACCCAATTATAGGTTCATGGCTAAATTTTAAAATAAAATGATCATAAATGTTGCTGCTGAACAGTAACTTTCTCTGATCAAAGCAGTGGCAATTTCCTTAAGATATACGATACAAATAGTAAGACACTGGGAATGGTGTACAGTAACAAAGCAAAGGTGTTCAAAAACTTCCATTTCACTCAGTCAATCTTTTTTATACTTTTTTTCAAATACAAATGAGGAGGTGTAGAGTCTGACTTTACACAACAGTGAAGCCAATATTCAAACAAAACAAGATAATGACTGTGGTGGTACTTCACTGCATCAGCTCACTATTTCTGTTTTGTATCAACCACTAAGTTTGTCAAGAAACCAAACATTATGCATTTCAGTCACTTGTACGTTTAAAAGACAGCAAGCTCCACTGTAATGATGGAGAGCATATACATTTAACCACAACCTACACAGTTTACACTACTGAATACACACCCAACATATCCTTTTTCATCTTTTCCATAATTGCCTGTGCATTTTAGGCAGGTGAAGACATCAGGAATTACCAGGGTAATGTTAAAGTAAGTAGAAATGCTTGCAAACACGTTGCACTGATTCTCTAATCTGTACAGCCAATCTGTGTGCATTGAGAGGTTTGCATGGTGAAAGTGAGCCAAAGCAATCATAAAATAGTGTAATACACTCAGAGCTACCACTGAGGACACTGTGGTCATGTCATTCACATTTATGGGTTTATCAACCTTGGAGTAGTTTATATTCTTCAAAAAAGAATGTATAGTGGCAAGAAAAAGTATGTGAACCCTTTGGAATGACCCGGTTTTCTGCATCGATTGCTCATAAAATGTGTTCTGATCTCCATCTAAGTCACAAATGTAGACAAATACAATACTCTTGCAGTAGCTGCTGATTAGACCTGCACAATGTTCAGTGGGAATTTTTGACCCTTCTTCCTACAGATCCGCTTCAGCTCAGACATTTTCTTAGGATGTCTGGTGTGAACGTTTCTCTTTGGGTCATTCCACAGCATCTCTAGTGGATTAAGGTCCAGGCTCTGACTGGAGCAGGTGGATTTTCTTAGTTTGAAGTCATTCTGTAGTAGATTTACTTTGATGTTTATCATCATTGTCCTGCTGCATCACTCAGCTTCTACTGAGCTTCATCAGGTGGCCAGTCACCCTGACGTTATCCTGTAAGATTCCTTGATAAACTTTGGAATTAATTTTCTCCTCAGTGATGGCGAGCTGTCCAGGCCCAGAGGCAGCAAATCAGCCCCAAATCATGATGCTCCCTCCACCGCACTTCACCTTTGGGATTATTTCTTCATGTTGGTATTCAGTGCCCTTTACTCCATACATATAGTGCTGCATGTTCTTCCCAAACAATTCAACCTTAGATTCATCAGTCCATAACACATTTTCACAGTAGTGTTGTGGAGAGTCAAGCTGCACTTTGGCAAACCTTGGGGGCACAGTGATGTTTTTTTGTTTGCAACCATGCACCATGATTTTTATATGGTCGATTCATGAATAGAGATGTTAACCAGCTCTAATGTTTCCTTTAAGCCTTTAGCTGTTACACTGAGGTTCTTTGTTTCATTACTGATAATTCTGCGTTGTGCTTTTGGAGTCATCTCAGCTGGGTGCCCACTTCTAGGAGAGTAGCCACAGAACTAAATCATTTCAATATATAGACAGTTTGCCTGACTGTGCACTGATGTATATCCTTTAAGCTTTATGCAAATCAACAACCCTTGATCCAAAGTTTTTTGAGATCTATATTTTGCAAGGTTATGGTTCAGATCACATCTTGTGAACAGCAAATTCAAAATGTGTGTGTGTGTGTTTTTTTTAAGTCGAAGTAGTTGCAACCCACATCTTCAATCTGGTTTCATTGACTCGACTCCAGGTTTACTAACTCCTCAGTCACAAAGCTTTTGTTGACATCATTAGCTGAGGGGATCACATACTTTTTCTAGCCTACACTGAACATTTGGATTATTTTTTTAATCTGGACAAGAACAATGTGATTTGTGTTTTATTAGTTAATATAGATTGTTTGTTCATAATTGGAACTTGGATGGAGATCTGACCATATTTTAAGACATATTTATACAGAGGTAATTCCAAAAGCTTCACTTAATTTTCTTGCCACTCAACATCTGCTGAGTAATTTACTGTATTTTTTAAGACTCAGTTTAAATTCAACCTCTTCTGGGACAATAAAGAAATAAAGGATTCCTTATTTCTCTTTTCAGTTTTTTTTCCTGGCAGTGTGGAGAACATTTAGACCTTCATATAATTAATTAAAATCTATAGAAATTATAAAGGGCTGCCTGAATAAATCAATATGAAAAATCCAAATAATACATGACAAATGGCTGTGCATACACATCTACTCAGCAAACATAGCAGCATAAATGCTATTTCAGCAGGGTCCTCACTATAACTGTAAAGATGAAATGAGAGTTTGTATCAGCCTGTGAATGATCATTGTCCTAATTGAAATGAATGCTTTACGTAACCTTCAGCTGCTTGTTATTAAGAAAGCATGAATCATCCCAGTTATTCAACACAAACCACTTTAACATGTACTGTATATGAATCGTCCTTTATTAGACAGTAAGAAAATGACTCTTAGATGCTTTACACGCAGGCATCACGCACATTAAACACAAAGCACTAATCCTCAAAGGGTATGTTTTCTTTTTCTTCAGGTTTGTTGTTTCACAATAACATGTTCTTAATAAGAAGTAAGACAATTTTCCTTTTTATAACAGCACCTAAATGTCAAACACATCAAATTATAATACAGTTGATATATATAATATAAAACCCACATGACTAAAAAAAGAATTATCTCCAGGGCACCTACTGCAATGCAGTTTGTTTGTTTTATAACAGAATACATGACGTGAGGTTCAAGCTTCATCTAGTTAAATCAAGCACAGACGTATCAAAGCCAAACACACGGCTATGCACTCTGGAATTAAATCCATTGGGAGCCTCAGTGGTTTTGTCCTGAAGCTTCTCTGTTTTCTGATGTAGCACCACACTGTTCTGAGTAAACACTAGTCCTGGCTGACACCGGTCTTTGCGGGGGGATCACTGGTCTTGGGCCGTTTTGATTCTGGAGGCTGGCACACTGGATCAGTGGGAGGAGAAGGACGTTCTGGAGAAATACAAGTGAAAAGCTCAGTGACAGAAAGGCTACACAGGACTACACAGGACTACACAGGACAAGCAAGCAAAAAAAGTCAATATGCAGAGAGAAATACACTGACTGGTTACCATACAAGCAATTTGATTAAAAAGGTAAAGACAGGGCACCGTGGTATTCCAAATGTTTTAATGTCAAGTTGTTTGTTTCATTAAATTTACAGACTAATTCCACTTTATTACAACTATTGGGTCTTATTTTGACAGTTTTGGTCATTCTTCATATAGTGACTGCACAAAAGTGAGCAACCAGACGTTATACAGGCCTCAAACAAACCAACTTGTAATCCAAATGTATTTCAAAAAGAAAAACAAAAGCAAACTTTAAAAAAAATTTTTTTATTGTGTTGTGTTTCTTGCCCCGTCGCACTGCATTCTGGCGATATGGCTGGGCTATAGAAAGTACACGTACAGCAGACATCATTTAAGTGTTGGATGTTGAAGTTCTGTGAATGCACACTGATGACAACTAGGGATGCACAGATCTGATCTGCAGCATCCGTACTGGACCAATTATGATCTGATTAAATGGATCGGGACATGTCGTGACTGATACACAGTCGATATCATAAAAATTTTTTAATTTCATACTATCAGTTTCATTCACTCCTGATGGGCCACTGGCACATTTTTTAGTGCCACAGCAATACCTGGCCTCATGTTTACTCGCATAACAACAATCCAAGTGAGTTCCACGCTGTGAGGTAAACAGGTTTTAAAGTTTGGAAAAAGAGAGCACCGTTATCTCAGTGATAATCTGTATTGTCAGATACCCAGTGATGATGCATCCAAATCAATACCAGGAGAGATAAAGCTGGATCGATGCATCCCTGATCACAATAGAAAGCACACTGTCAACAAGGATGGATGATTTTTCCATCTGTATCAAATGTGCTTTTAAATCATCAAACTTCTCTTGTGATTTTTACAACATCAAAGCTGCCCTCACTAACCATGTTTGGCCTTTTCAGTGGAGGACGGAGTCCTGAAGAGTGAACCAGCAGCTGCAGATCTGGATGCAACGGGAGTCAAAGATACTCTCCTGAAAACAAACAGAAAAGTAATGACTGGTAAAGAGAGCAATGGAAAAACAAACAAACAAAAATTCTTAGAATAAAATGTTCTCTTCTATAGTGAACAAAGCTAATCGCTGTTCCACTGCATTCATCCTCTTTTTTGTTCTTCTGATTCAGTTGCTGCCTACTAGTAAAAGTAGTCAAGCCTAGTCAAGGAGAACGCTCCAACTTAGAAGATACAAGGGCGAATACAAATGCATGTGCTGACCTGCCATTGTTCTACCAACAGTCTGGCAGAGAGATTATTATTTTATAGTCAGTGGGGGGTCAAACGAATCCCTCAGACCAGACAGGGCTTTGTTCCAACTGTTAGTACTCAGCACACCAGACCACCACACCAAACGAAAACACCACAAGCCCATCACAGCCACTTATATTTCTACTGCATTTTTTAGATGAATGTTTAAAATCCCCCGAATATTTTACACATTTTAAAGCGCACAGTGCTTTCTTGCTCTTAGTACTTATTTCTGTGAGCTGCATCTGTAGAGACAATCAGCTTAGTTTTTTTTTTTTTTTAAATCATCTGGGCGGTGGATGTGTAGTTAGTTCCTCAGTCTGCAGTCAAAACTCTTGAAAAGTTCAAGTATTTTCCATAAATTACCATACGTAGCCGTCTATGAGGCAGCACCTGCATTCTTCATCTATAGGACATCTAAATAGAACTTTCAATACCATTGGTGATTTATAAAGTTTAGGATAATCTCACTGCAACAGAAATTATATTAATTCTGCTGCATGATTACCAAGTGAAACTTCACAGCATTCCCATATCGTTTCGGGGCTGGCTTCACTATATGGGCTTCTTGTCTTGTTTGTGATCTGTTTGGCTACTGCTGGCTGCACGACATCTTGTATCTCGGGGATAATAAAGATATTTCAACTTTCAACCTTCAATTCAGGATTGAAGTTTAAATTCTTTTAATTATGTTTGAGGTGTTACAGAATGTAGCTCCACCGTATATCAGTGAGTTAAAGACTCATGGTGACCAAGCTTTTGCTGTCCTGGCCAAACCTTTGACTCCCTCTGGGGTAAGAGCACTTTGTAACCTTAGCTTTAAACTGTGCTATATTAATAAATCACATGAAATCACAAGAGTGATTTTTGCAGTGTCGACCACTTCTTTACAAACATCCACAGGGTTGAAAAATACATCCACACACACACACACACACACTAATGTCTCAAACATGAGGATTTGTGATTTTTCTCAATAATTGTAAATGAAATATTTTTGCGTTTTGAAAAAAAAAAAACAAGCAGTTCGACGATGCTACCAGGGGGATCTAGGAAATTGTGGTGGGTATTTTTCACCATTTGCTGAAAATTGTAGGTTCAATGATTAAATCAATAACGTGATAATCATGAGCTGCAGCTGCAACACACACACACACACACACACACACACACACACACACACACACACACACACACACACACACACCCTCATATGACGAGAAAAACATACATTTAAATAATAAAAATGTACCTGTGCTCATAAGTTTCAGTGGTTTAAGTCAATTCCCTGGTTGCCTTTCACTCACTCTCACAGAATCAAACATGACAGCCCCCTGTTATATTTACCTTGGGGTAGGCCCCTTTGGGGTGGTTGTCCCCTTAGGAGTAGTGGGCCCAGCAGTATTAGCACTGTTGAGGACTTTAGGGGTGGAGGGAGTGAGGGGGGTGATGCGTAGCTGGGATTTGGAGGAGCTGGTGGGGGTGAGGGGGGCAATCTGTGGTTGGGGAGTTGATGGAGCGCTTGTGCTTCCACATGTTGGGGTCTGAGGTGCTGAGGGAGCGGTGGTTTTGGTGGAAGTGGGCTTCCCCCAACCCTCTAGGGTGTTGAGGGTGATCCTACGGGGCTGAGATTTAGACTTGGCAGTGGGGGTGTTCTTCTTCTCCTCTGGGGGGGTGACAGAGGGGGCATCTTTGCCGAGGCTGGTTTGGGATGTGAGAGTCGGGGCTGAGCTTGATGGCTGGGACACAGGGGACGATGTCCTGCCCGCTGATGATTTCTTGCCCTTTTTCTCAACACCACTGTTTGGGACAAAGACCTCCAATGTGGGGGGCTCCTTCAGTGGAGTGCCCAGCTCTCCAGGAGAGAAGGACAGGAAGGAACAGTAACCGTCTGTGGAGGACACCGCCAGGAAGGAACCATCACGAGACCTAAACAGGATATTATAGAAACACGTCAGTGGAATTGTACACGAATGAGACACACATTCTTCTGACATTGGTAAGAATGTAAACCTTCAACTGAATTGGCATAATGCACTTTCCAGAAATAACAAATGCAGGTAACATTTATTTTGTTGCAAATAGGCCTAGGTTATTCAAAATAGGTGTTAAACTGTGCAAGAACTCAACTACAAATGAAGCCAATAGAGGAAAGTCTTAGCTTACCATGTAAGATCACTGAGTGTGTGGTAGTGAATGTTTGACACCAGGCCGAAAGGAAGGGTCTGCTGAGTGTCATACAAGAAGATGGAGTCCTCTGATGCCACTGCAAACACCATACGGTACGGCAACTGGAATACGTTGGGAAGAGCTTGGACGGAGCCATCTGTGGAACAGAAATGTAGCAGAATGAAGAAAACGTGCAGGAAAACAGGAGATAATGAGTACGGACAATCCAAAACGACTTTATTAGTTTTGTCTGTTAACCAGTGAGATGTATGTCCTTGCCTTCTCCTTTCTTGGTTCTCAATTCAAAGTAGACAGGGCAGCAACGCACAGCCAGCGTGGCTTTAGTTGGACATGGCAAGTGGGCGATAGGCCTAAAAAGACAGATATTTGTACATGAATTACCAGCATTAATGTAGCCAACACTGACTCTGAATAGCACAGAAAAGTTACCTCTTGAGGCCCTTCCTGGAAAAGATGTAGGTGGTATTTATGACATTTTCTCCAATCTCCACACATCCAGCTAAGGTTAAAAGAGGTGACAACAGAAGAGGAATATTACAACACTAAGTTTCACCAGATAAATGTCAGGTAAATGCCACAATGCTCTTTAATGTACCTGGGGCAAGCAGGAAAGACCCATCCGGTGTGAATGAAAGACGTCGGAAGAACGACCTCATACTGTCATCGTGGAAGATTCTATACTGCTTGACCTGCAAAGATACAGAGAAGTGTGAGGCTGAGGGCACGTATATAACATGTCTCACTGATTTGGCGGCAGAGCAGGACTTCTCAGAAGATATTAGGGAGTTCAAACATATTCATAATTTTAAGACCAAATATAGGGAACCCTAAGACCAATATCTGGGAGCATTATAAACATTTTTAGTCAACAGGTGGTCAACGCAGAAGCATGAGTGAGAATGGAGAGTTGAGCTCATGGAGAAGAATCTCAAAAGGGTACATGCAAAACGTCAGAATAAATATATTAGAGTTTGGTGTACATGCAGGTCGGCTGAGGGATTTTGAGGCTCTGATTTCACTGAAGAGAAATATGTTTAATTCTGAAAACAACAAAAAACATCCATTGAAATAAAGGTGTTACATTGAATATATTAGTTACATTCTCATTTGAGCATGATCAAAAGCAAATTTATACTGACCTCTCCCTCTGCCAGTGGTAGAGAACTCATTTTACTGATACAGAAAGCCTTCTTCTTGGTGTGAGTGCTGTACACACGCATTACCCTGAAGGGAAGGAAAAACAAAAACATCTTGAGCATTGAGCTGCTGAAACTCCACTGTCAGTGACTGGTGACTGGCTAAGCAACATCATATACAACCATGTAATGAATGACAGGCCAAGACCAGTCTGAAACAGGAAGAGTGTGTTGTTGTACCTGTCACAGCTGAGAGTGGCAACATATTGCCCCAGAGGATCCCAGGTCACCCCCTGCACGTAGCTCTTATGGTCATTCAAGATACACAACTTCTGTCCTACAACACAAAAACAGTTGCAACCAACATAATAAATACAAAACAAAAATAAGACATATCCTCACGTTTTACAATATGCTATGAAGCATGCTTTGCATCACTGAAGTGCTTAACCAAACAGATGAAACAAAACAAATCTATGCAACACACACACACACACACACACACACACACAGTATCCATGACCACAAGCAAACCTTTGTTGATGTCCCACATAATAGCAGTATTGTCGACAGACCCAGACACCATGAAGTTTCCATCCCGTGTCCAGGAGATGTCATACACATCTTCTATGTGTCCCCTGAAGACAGATCAAATAAGAAATCTCTTTGTATAACCACACTATTACTACAAATTTTGAAAAGCAAAGCAATGGTTGTACTTAAACTCTGTGTCTCAGATTAGGCATTCTAATTTTGCTACTGAGCTGGAGCATTTTTATACAATTACAAGTGGAAAATCATAAAATGATTTATCAACCATATTTACAGTAGTACAAACCACATGCAGCTGTAAAAACACATCGGATAGCAAACTGCAAGACACACAGAACAAGTAGAGTTCCATATGCAGATTAATATAAAGTAGCATAATTAGTATAGCTACAGAATAATAAGTATAAGCCTCTGGTGTCTTTCCCTTTTCTGTCACATCTGTCTTATTTCTATTATCTGGTTTTATGCTGTTGGATACATGTGCAAGTAAAAAACTAAACTAACTGCATACAGTATTATTCATGACAAAGTAATGGTTCTCTTCCAAGTCTAAAACTGACATATACCATATGACAAATTATCAGTTCAAATGCAAACTGAAAATCAAATTTGGGCGGGGCAGACACCAGTGTAACAATATAATATAAACAGTGATTTATAATATTACAGGGAACTGTGAAATATCATTGAGAGGGGAGGATTTGATCCTGTCTGGACAACTGTGAGGTGAACTGCAGTATTACCCAGTTTTCTTACAAATGAACCCACCAGGAATGTGCACTTGCCTTATTGATTGCCTATGCGGTGTACTGCCAGCCAACATTTCATTCCTTTTCAGCAAAGGCTGAGCCAAGTATATCTGTTTAGATGGGACCCTACACTGTGCCATCAATGCGGTCACATCAAAATCTCGATCTATTGTCAGTCTGAACACAGCCTGAGAGTCTTTAGAATCAAAGGAAAGGAGGTAAAAATTGTCATGAAAACTTTCTAACTTGATGGGATCAAAGCTGCATACCTAAGTGTCTTGACCACAGACCAGCTCTCCTTGTTGAGCTGAGCATCTTCATCCTCCTGAAACACAGGTGCTTGCTCAGGCTCCTTCGAGTCATTGAGCTTCCACAGCAGAATTGCTGCATCTGTATCAAATAAAAGCCATAAGATTACTAAAGGTACCTGTTCTTTTTTGAGAATAACATCCTTTTAAGTAGTAACCCTTAAAATTTTACTTAGCATCTGTGTAATATGCGAGACATACCATCTCCTCCTGAGGCAAGCAGCTCTCCATTAGGGCTAAAGCGCACGACATTGACAGCCTTGGTGTGTCTAGCCAGATTAGACAGAAAATCCACCGCTGCCTTTCCATCTGCACCCACGTCTACCCTCCACAGCTGCATCAACATCAGGGCAACAAAGGTCATTAAACACTCTCTATAAGTGGGTTTGACCACATTTTTACATATTTGCTCTGTCTCTCTACGACCAAACTCCATCACTGCCTAAAAAAGTAAATATGAAAATTACAATAGCTCCTTTAGTTGATTCAATTGAGTTTTAAACCCATTTTTCTACTTTGTATCATATTCCACAGGTTCTAGAGTAAGTCAGTTCATTCAGTAGGTTCTGTAGATGCCCAGTGGAACAAGACAACAAAATATGTTTCCATAAAAAATGTACTTTTGAATACATAAGTATTTTTAAAATCAAGTCCTCCAATATTTTAACTCAAGTAAAAAAATTGACTGAACAACTTTCACTTGTATTGGAGTCATATTTGACCAGGAGTATCTGTACTTTGACTCAAGTACTGCAGTTGTGTACTTTGTCCACCTCTGCCCGCAAAAAGATGCATCATTCATTCCTCTCTTTCCACTCACCCTGACGGTGGTGTCTACTCCAGCCGTGGCCAGTCGATGAATGCGTCCATCAGAGCTGTGCTGAAAGTCCAGACTGTACACTGGCTCCTTATTGTGCCATGCAATCTCACACGTTACCACCTTCATTTCTGTATATCCAACACCGAAGTCAGGAGGGAAAAAACAGGTCAATTTTGTACGTTACAGTTTTAAATGCACTGACACTGGAAGGACAACAGTTGGTTATTTTTACATGCTAGCAAATGTAGAGGCTGTATTACGTACAGCGTATGATAATACATTGATTTAAACAGCTAAACTAGCCAAACAGTCACTGGAAACGAAGGCTACACCGAGCTAACGCAGTTAGCAACAAACCTAGCGGGTTTAAGTGAGTATGTTGGATGATTTGGGGCTAACGCTACGCACAAGTAAATACATACATTACTGTTAGCTGAAAAGTATGTTAGTTACGAATATACACGAGTTCTGTCTGTTTATTCTTTGGACTGAAGTTATCTCAAAGTAAGTCTTTTAGTGTTTTACCTCCTCTGTTGTCCACTCCAGTTGAAGACTTAAGTTATTTCCCGCGTACTGTTCGTTCAAAACTTCCGGTTGACTGGGCTGCAGTGATTGGACAAACATGCGGAAAGGGCGGTGCGCCTCAAAGCCTGAAGCTGTACACCAGACGAGGATCAGCTCTGTTTTGAATGGTTCCAAAAGGTTTCTTAAGCATCAAAACACTTCAGTGTGTTTTCTATTATTCTGTATTAAAGACTTAAAGCACATTTCTCCCAGTTTTCCTTTTTAGAGAGGTTTATAGGTGCTAACGAAAAAATGAACTATAAAGCTCTATTAAACTAAGCTATTGGGGTTAGAGGCCTCGAAGCTTCAATGATCAGTTTTTGACAAGATGTATTAGTATTGTAGAGCTTTTCATTGTTCTTGTATGAAGTATATCCTATTGGTAGCTATGTAATAACCCTTTTTCTTTTTTTTACAGGCAAGGACTGAAACACACAAAAAATACAATGTATGAGCTGACTTCTCCACCTATCTTCTGTGTTAGAGATGGTACCAAGGAGCCAGCAGATTGTTCAAGTGCAAGTTTTAAATAATTTGATTTTAACATTTATTCATGAAAGCCAAAAAAATAAAAAAAATCCAGACAATAGACCGACAATAGTGTTTTCCTGCTCAAACTGTACAGCTTTGTGAATTTTCTCATCTCAGTGAATAAGATTTCCCTCTCTTTTCTTTGATTCTTCATAATTTAGACCAAATCAGAAATAATAAAAGTAGCAACACAGCAGAGATTAACAATGTATCCTAGAAACAAGCTGCTTGGCAAATTGCCACAGAAACGTGGATATTCAGATGAACCTGCATCGCTAAGACTGATCATGGTTAAAACTAGATGGTGCAATCGATGTGAAGTACATTTTAAAGACTGGTCTTGACAAAAACCGATTCAGCAGTTGGGTGTAGATGTAGTGTGTAGTGTGGAGAGCTGCATGGTCATGGCAAAGACAGCTCACCATCCTTTCAGCCCAGAGAGGAAGAACTATTTGCCTGCACAGAAACCATACAGATTCAGAGCCTATTAGGCATTACTCAAGCAAGCACACCCTGTTCAAGGACTTAGTGGGAAGTTTGTGATAACTCTTTCAGTTACGTTTCAGTTTGTATCACTCAGAAACATACTGAAGGGCTCATTGCCAGCCCTATCTTATGTATTCAGAAATGTTGACAAGGATACCAGAGCTACTGTGCCACAGAGCATTTTATCACAGGGCAAAGACAGGGAATACAAAAACATATCTGACAAAGAATATATACAAAACATGATTTAATAGAAACCTAAGAGAAATCAATCAGCTCTCATTGTGCAACAGAATCAGATGCAAAGCCACGATCTTTTCAAAACAACTGCAACAGGATTTTTTTCATTTTGTTAGGACATTAACACAAGGACATATAGTAACTTTACTATACTGCAATGGATAGATCAATGAGATCTCATATTTCGCTGATGATTTTTTTTACCCAAAAACCTAACATCAAACTATGCAGTTCAAAGCATTTTGTATTTACTGTACATCAATATAAAAACCTGTCATGTACATATCCTCTAATAAATATGAACTAATTTCCCACACTCACATGAGTTTATATTAAATATTTACAGGTATAGTGCAATACTTCTGTTCAAGAGTTGATGATTTTTTAATTACTTTCATGCTTCATCCCCCTGCCCATCAGCTTCGACATACTCCACAGTAGAGAGAACCTGTTCTAGGATCTCATCGACTACATTACACTCATAATTCACTTGGCCCAGGTCCAGAGCAGGCACGTAGGTGATAAGAAGGCGACCAATGTTCTGTCGAAGCTCAATCAAACTGAGAATAAGGGAGAGAAAAACAGAGAGGAAAACTCAGATTTACATTGTTGTTGTGCTGTGTTGCCATAAAGGTCTTTGTAAGAGTGATACTTCATCATGATGACACTGTGATTATTCATACAACATGTAAGGAGAGTGATTTTCCAACAATCTAACCTTCTGAATGTATCTGAGCTTGACTCTGCACCAGATGCTGCTGTCCCCTCTGCCTCCTCTGGGTCTGTTTGTACAGAAGAGTCAGATGTTGTTTGTGCAGCTGTGCCTCCTTCTTGCGCATCTTCCCTCTGCTGCTCCAGGCTCAACCTGAGCTCTTCACACTGGGCTGCAAGGTTCGCCTTTTCCTCTGTCAGACTGTCCAACTGATGGCGTAGCACACAGTGAACCCCAAGAGGAAAGAAAATGATACATCATGAAATTCAACATGGATGATACATGATGAATTATACATAATATACAAACATACGAACTCAGAGTGCACTGACATTAGGCTTGTTTGGAATTATTGTTTGAGAATTATTGTGGGGTACACAAGTATTCATAATTGTAAACAGTGTTTGAAGCAGACTTAGACGCATGTGTGACAAAAAGCCCTTTTACTAGCTTTTCTGAGCTCTCAAGTGCATCACATGGTCTTCCAATCTCCAAATTCCTCACTTGCATCACATGATGACAACAAGCTTTTTGTCTTAAAACACTACACACATGCTCACGTGTACATTGAAAGACTTTATGGTACACTGACCTGTGAGCGCAGTTCATCGTTCTCCTTGTTTCTTTGATCCACTTCCCGGATCAAACAGTCAACTTGCAGCGCAATATCATCAAGGTCGTTTTCCAAACCATGACCATTACAGTGCTTGGTCTCAGCAGCTGCCAGTAAAGCATCTTTGTCCTTAATCAATTCATCGACTTTCTGTTTGGCCTTCTCAAACAGACTTTTGTAGTCATGCCCCCCCTGTGTTTCCTCCGTCTCCTCCATCTGGTTGGCCTGGTGAGAGCACTCCTTCTTTACATTAATCTGAGACAGTCTGCTTTGCATGTCTTGCAGCTGACAGGTGAGTTTATCGACCTGCTCTTTAAACTGGTCTCTCTCCTGAGCTGTTGCCTGCATGAGCTCCAGGAGCTGGTCTTGCTGTTCCTGTACCTCAGTAATACTTGGGTGGTGATGTGGAGAGTATTGTCTATCAGAGGCATCTACTCGGGACGGTCCTGCAGCTTCGTCACTTTCCAGATGACGTGTCACTTCCTTCTGCAAGGTGCCATTTTGAGTGTCTCCCTCGCTCTCCTGCTTAATTACTCTTTGCTTGACGTCGCAGACACCAATGTCTGCATGTGAACTCTGTTCGTTACCATTCGTGTTAGACGTGCTCTGCTCTGTACTCTCCCTCCCTTCTGTTTCATTTTGGCTCTCCTCTTCCTCCTTCACTTTGGGTACTTCCGTTTGGGTGGTGGTGTTGGTCATCTCTGGAGGAGGTGCTGGGGATGGACTGGTTCCCACAGCTGCTGACCCTGTATTGCTTGGTCCTGCTGTGGCGACGTCCATTGCAGCATCACTTGTCTCTTTCTCTTTCTTCACTTTAGTCACATCAAAGCTTGGCTTTTTTGGCTTGGGCGTACTGGCATTCTCCAAGATGACAATGTCATCATCAGTATCATCGTCATCACCATCAACTACAGGCACTGGTTGACGCGATGGGGAGCGAAGCGGGCTCACATCCACTGATGAGGGTGCATCTGAGACGTGCCTGCGGAAGCCGTTTACTCGAGGTCTTTTGGGCGTTCTTTGTGGGGTAGCAGGCTGTGTCCTTTTCCCCCTGCAGCGTACACAACACACAGTTCATATACTTCCTAAATTAAGTGAAATTGATATATTCAAGGTCACAAACAACACAAAAATCATACCTCACGGGGCCAGCTGCCAGAGAGCATACATTAGAAATAACTGGAAGACCATTGCTACTGGAGGGGCTGCAAGCTACGGAGAAAGAAAACGGACACATTTTCATACACATAACAAGAATGTTATTTCTCACTGTCACTCATGAACAAACAGCAATTTTACTTACCAGCTTGTGAAATGGCGGAGGACCTCAGTGGAGAGGATTCAGCCCTTGCAGCACCCCCTTGTCGGGACTCAGTGTTTAACCTACTCCTTGGGGTAGTGGGAGTGGCGGGGGAGTGGACAGTGGCGGGAGAGTGGACGCGGACAGTCTACCAACAAGAATAACAACAAAAAGAAAACAGAGATACAGATACGTTTTTTTTTAAATTATTTTCATTTGTTCATATTCCTAAACCATATCCACTTTCTGCATTAATTAAAACTATGAGACTGGAAACATAATCTTCATCCTAAATCAAAATGAAACAACTCTATCATCATCACCCCCTGCCCCTTAAGTGTCAAATGGAAAGCGCACTGTTTGATGCAGCTGCCGTTTCAGGTCTTCCTGATTCCGTTTAAGAAGCTCATTTTGCCTGGCAAGATTTGCCAGACGCTGCTCTTCCTGACGCCTTCGATCCTCCTCATCCTAGGTGAAAAAATTCCCAAAAGCACTATTAATGATGTTTTCACTTCCATTCAATCAGAATTCAATACTACAAGTAAAAGAACTGTTTAATCCAAACAGAAATCAGGTGCTCCATACGGAGGAACTAACAATAGCAGGGAGGAAAAATGTCAGATGGTTTTTAACAGACAATGTGTCCTTACTTTTTCTTTTTTCTTCTTTTGCTGTTTTTTATCCTCCTTCTCTCTGTTAAATGTAAATCACAGAGGTAAGGATCCACAACAAGGAGCCAGCTGACACGTGAGGTCTAATTTTGGCAGCTTGATATATTATACAATTATTATTGAGTCTAAATATTGAATTACATTTTTGGGCAAAAGGTGTGGCCGTATGTTTTAATGGAAATTTGTGACTCACTGTTGTTTATAGGTCTTGCAGTATGAAGGTCGTTCATCGTCGGAGTCCTCGGGCTCCTCCTCTACTTGGCAGCTCCTGGGACAGCAAATTAGAGAGAGATGGAAAACATCAGCAAAGCAGTATAAGCAGTGATTTGAATATGATGGTGGCCAAGCAGGTGGAGTTCACTCAGGTAGAACAGTTAAACAAGAGCAGAAAACTGGAGCCTTAAAGATGAAGGAGACACACCATTTCAGCTCTATTACAACGACGCTACAATTCCAGATAACATCTAGTTTCATATCCTGATGTGGTTTTTGTATTCTGAAACCCATCCTATACTTAAATGTAGCATCATTTGCAAAAAAATTGCAGGGAATTAAAAGTTTTGTTTTCATATAGTTAAAACCTCCAAAGCATTTATAGTTTTTTCATATTCTTAGAAAACTCAGAGCCGAAACAGTCTAGACCTACAAAGCAAGTTCTCCACTGTTGGATTCACGTTTGTGTAATAATTGTGATTCAACAATTTATATACTGTATCTGTTTATGTTTACTAGTGTGTTAGTAGCTCTAAAAAGATACTTAAAAATCAAAAAGCAATGTATAAAATAAAGTTTTACAAACAGATGAGCTCTCTTAAATGATGCTACAATTATTTTTTTATTTCTAGAAATAATACTCCAGAGTCAAGCTGATCCTTAAATTCTTGAAATGAATAGAACATCCTTTCCAGTTTACATTTGTTATTTCATACAGATTATGATTACTGCCAGAGTTTCCCTTATAAAGTTCTGGTTACCTAACTGAGATCAGGGTTCATCCGACAGAACCATTTATTTGGCAGCTTTCTGCAGTCGATCCCATCGGGGAGTTTACGCCAGCGCAAACAGTCATCACATTGCACCCAGTTTTGATCTGGTCGCTTCCTGAGGACATAGACAGAGACATGTATCAGAGCATGTGGGGAGCTAGCATGGATAGACAAATATGCATGTAGAATACAGATTGTGGGTTCAGTTCAAAGGTACTAACATGGCATCTTCCACTGGTGTGGTGGTGTTTGGATTGTCTTTGCTCCACCTGTAGCGGATTTCTTTCCAGTACTCCTCCAGTTTGATCCCCAAACTGTTCATGTTTTCCTGTAGCAAAATTAGGCACTTTACACCTCTAATAAACAAATAAATAAACCCCAAGAATATGATCAAGATTATATAAGAACTGAATGCAGAATTGATGTTATTACCTGTACTTATCTGTCTCATTAAAGCTCTGTTTGTTTGGGTAGGATCCAAAAAGTCACATTCTATTATCCCAATGACCCCAACCCCTTGGAAGTTGGCCTGTAGAAGGCAAAGATTCATAAGAGACAAAACACAGATGATAACATTTAGAGCCCCTTGAAAATGTGTAATCGACAGACACACTGACGGTCACAGCAGAAACTCACCTTAAGCTGGCAGCCACACGTTCGTAGGCTTTGATGAGCCGATTCTTGTGATACATCATAATGCCATAGTGATCTTTGCTTTTTGTGTTATACACCGAAAAATGATAGGAACGCGTTTTGGTCTAAAAATAATCTTTAAGGAAAATCCAAGAGCCGAGATACATGTAAACACTTTGGGAGCACACCCATTTGTCCCAACACATTTATATATTGCTCAACACAATCAGAAACCTAAGGAGGCACAGCTCTAAAGAACCTGTGATGAAAGGATACCAGGAAAATGGGTTTGTAGTGTCCTTTCTGACGAGAGCCAGACTCTTAGCGCATGAGCTGCGATTTCACTTTTTTGACCACGTATGATGATCTGCATTCCGCGGCTTCAGGTACAGAACACTGCCAATATGCCTACACCCATCAAAAACACAATTATTCGTTTATTTACAAAAACAAAGGAAAAGTGGTAAAGCCGGAGGGTCAAGAGATTCATTTTTATGATATTTTTTTCTATTGGACACACACAATTCAAGAGATTATATACAAATCAAGATGTGTGTGACACTATTCACAGACAACCCCG